CGACCTTCGTAGAGAGCTCGTAGAGAAATGAGAAACTGATTCTCGGAGCTTTAGCTACCCAAAAATTAGCTTAGGTATCAATCTATTCTTTCGCACGAGGTAGTTCATGATATTCTGAACTGCTAGTGAAGTTTTGCTTTGATTTCCCAAGTTTTTGATCGGATGAATTAGAGTTGAGGAGGATTCAGAAGCCGGATTAAATCCTAATTTCATATACAGGCTTTCTACGGTGAGATAATGAATTTTCTATTTCTAACCTATGAATTCCGCCAATTATTTAGGTCGGAGTCGAAATCGCTGAATTTAGCTCCGAATAGGGTTTGATGTGTTTTTATCGTAATTTGACCCATAGCTTAGAACTAATATTGACGGGGACACTGCAGGGGATAGTTGGGTCTCGAATTTTGATTCCGGGTTTGTTTGAGAAAAGTGAAGTTGTGGTATGGGAGGCTAAAACCGGTGTTTGAACGACCAGAGCTGGTGAGGGATTGGCACGACATACCGGGTTTGCCATATCATGATAATTATACTGATCCTTAAAAATGACCTAGGTGAACTAGAATGGCATGATTAGGCGTGTATGGACTTTTGTGTTGTATGATGAACCCTGGATTGTTGTATGATATTATTGACTTGCCCTAATCGATAGTACCTTGTTTATGTTGATGATTGCATACATGTTGCCATTTGTGATTTAACTGTTGATATGACTTCATGGTTTTTTGATAAGGTGTTTGACATGATGTGATATTATGGTTGTATTTGGATTACAATTGGGAGAATAAACTTTCCAAGATGATATTATGATGTTTTAAGGAGGATGACTTGCACGAGGGTTCATCCCAAGGAAGTGCAATTATACGACTCCTTGTTTACCTATGTTGAGCCAATTATAGTCAGGTGAAGTACATGGGCAAGTAACGAATTATGATTAAGCAAGATGGATATGAATCATGTATAAGGATACCAAATATGAGTGTTGTGGTCTCACGGTCAATTACATAGTAATTAGGGCTCCCTGTGCTATTACTCTATTATGATATTTATGGTAGTCACAACTCTCATGTGCTAGTGACTAAATATTGCTTACGATATATGACCACACCTAGAGCGGTGTCGGGGTATGACTACACCCATAGTGGTGTGGGGTATGTATGACCACATCCGACCGGATGTTGGGGTATGTGTGACTACATCCGAATGGATGCGGGGTATGATTTCCGGGAGAGTTATTAGCACGGGAGTAGCCAGACGCCTATGATTAAAACATGATAAGATGCATTTGCATAGGTCAAGGTGGTTGAGTCTTTTGCCTATTGGGATGTCAAATGGCTGAGGTCTGATCCTAGTGCTTTGGCTTGCTTGCTAGATGTATAATAGGGGTATGCTCTGTTATGAACTCACTATGTGATGACTGTCTCACTCAGTTATGAGATGACCCTCTTTTATTATTTTCCTCTGCTTATACCATGTGTAAGAAGATCATCATCAGCAGCAGGAGTAGATAGGTGTATAGGTGGTAGCTGAGCAAGAGTTGAAGGCAAGATGAGGTATGGTCTTCAACTATTATGTTCTTGGACGACTACTCAGGATTTTGGCCAGTGATCCACACTTTTTTGTGAAAATATTTTGAGAACCTTTTTCATGTGCATACTAGCTTCTCATGTAGTGTGAGATATTCATAGATGTGAAAAGTTGATGATATGTGTATATGTGTGTGGTTGTGTAAGTTGTGACAATTGTAGCATTTCTAAGTATGGTATGTAGTTGTAGAGTATGAAATCGTGACTATGGCTATGAAAATTCAAGAAAGTTGTGGACCACGAGTACATAAGGTCTCATAGTCCATCTCACTAAAAACTGTGACAAAGATAGCATGCCATGACTTCGTCTTCGCAACCGCGAAGTCTAACCCGCGGTTTCACCGCTAGAGTAGCCCAACGCGTCGTCGTTTGAAGATCACGATCTTATGAATAAGATCGTACCCACAAACTCTCTTGAGCGGCTTGCAATCTTGTCCATATTTTAGTTCTCCTATAAATAATGGGAGTTTCAAAGAGAGGTAGTTGTTTTGTGAAGGTGAGAATGAGGAGTATCTTCCAGGAGGATTTCTACTAGAGAATAAGAACATTTTCTAAAATTTATTCCTTTCTTTACACGACTCTCCTCTACCCATTCATGGTTTAATTCATTAAGGTAATTGGGGATTTTCCACCAAATCCTATCTAAGGGAACAGATCACGTCAGTAACCTTATGGTGAGTAACCATGAGTAACTCGCTCACATCAGCATCTTCTCTCTCCTGGAAAGCCTTTAATTATCCCCTCCTTAATCTTTGACGGACGATTTCTCACTCGTTTTAAGTCGAAAATTAATTTTTTTGCACAGTTAGATCAGGTTAATTGTGCTCTTTTAAATTATATCCACTTAGATATATTTTTCGAACAAAAAAAATTGAGCCATTTTTTACCAGTCTATACCATATGGTATGGACTGGTATTAAAATAAGAGCATACCTATGATTTGAAAAGCGTACCATAGTGGTATGACACAAACCAAAACTGTAAGATGATTGAATACATGATAGTAGAAGTATATTAATTATCATTTACGACTTTTAACATTGTATATCATAAGATACCACCCCGTACCATGGTGGTATTGTATGGTATTGTGTGGTATTTTTTGGTCTTGTAATTTGTTCACCCAAAAATTTGTAGATCCAATAGATCATGATGAACTGGTCCCTGCTGTGCAAACATTTTCAAAAACGAATTAAAAACGAAGAAGATACCATTGGTATGCAGTTGGTACTGAGAGGCCAGAATTTTTTTTTTCTAAAAAAAAAATTGAAAATTGATCTCATTTTGTAGAGCACGATGAACCTGTTCCATCTGTGCCAAAAAATTAAAATCTGAGTTAAAACGAAAAAGATATGAGTCAATTAAGAAAGTTAGGAAAAATAAAAATTACCTTTATTTCTCCATCCTTAGATCTGGATTTGCTAAATAAAAGGTCCAGATTTGGTTATTGATGGGTGCATAACCCATGGTTATACACCCTATCTTGAGGGTTTGACATGTAAATGTTTGCATAATATAATATAATTATTTAATTGTGCTTAACTAGTGTTGTGAATGCTTCTATCTTGCTTCGGGTGTATCAATGAATCATTTCTAGCATGATTTAGCCTTAGGTTTCCTTATGTTATTTCTTAGTTGTACGTGAATGAATGCCTCTTACTTGAGATGGACGATTTTGGGTACTAATTAGGTGACGAGGTGATCATTCCCTTCCAATTAGGATCCCACCTGGATAATGCTTTTCATAGGAGTGCATGAACATCAACTTATAGATCTTTTGCGAATGAGTTAAACTAGTATAGAGGAGGTAAATTGTCACCTCTAATTAGGTGAGATAGGTGATGGATGTGGCTAAGAGGGGAGTCGCGAGACATGACCATATGGCACCGGCCACTAGGGATGGCAATTACCCACCCATGGGTAATTTTACCCAAATCCAAATAGATCCATTTAGTATGGGTAGGGTTTGGATGAAGTGTATATGGGTTTGGGGGTTTGTAGATGGGTTTGAGTTAGGTATGGATATTGCTTTCATTATGTAAATGGGTATGGGTTGGATATGGATATCCATTTACTTGAGGGTGTTTTAACTACACACAAAAATTGGACTTATTTGTAAAACTCGAAAAGTTTAGGTACCAAAATGTAAGACCAAAAAATTTTAGGTACTAAAATGTAATTTTCCATCAATATTTTGAGGACTTATATGCAAAAAAATTAAATTTTGGTACTAAATATGCATATCTATTAAGTTTAGGTACCAAACTGTAATTTGCCTTTGGGCATGGATACAAACCCAAATTCATGTGTTAAAAACCCAACCCAACCCAAATAAATGGGTATGGGTACAAATCCATCTAACTCTACCCATTTACCATTTATTTGGAATCCATACCCAACCCAATTAGGTTGGATAGTAAAATACCCATGGGTATGGGCAAAATTGCCATCCCTACCGGCCACCACTCATGTGACCTTTGCACCACAATTGCCATGAATCCATTATCTATCAATTTGCATATGTCTACATGTAGTTGTGAGATTTCGTCACAGAGTCAACCCCAAATCCTTCAAAGATTCAAGAGGGGGTGACAAGGCCAATTGGTAGAGCTCTAATTGCATGGCCATTGACTTAGGGCTTATCATTGGTATTTTTGTGTATTGAATGCCAAAGCAATTAAATTCCTTATAACATATACCCTTAGAGAGCATCAAATGTAGCTCGAAGTCTAACCGACACTGGCTTTTAGTTTTATCTTGGTTAGTTTTGTTCCTACTTTAAAACTCAACCATCTTGTTTGACTGTATAGTAGATCAAGGCCCAGAGTAATAGTAGACCTAGAGGCCCCGAGTGTGTCTTGGATTCCTTGCTGCCGTTGTGCTGCAGTTGTACAGGGATATATATGTCCCTCTCATGTAAGGCCAATGGCCGAATAAGATCAATAAGAAAACCTGGTTCTGTGGATGTAACTCTCACACACTATCTATGAAGATGAACCACGTTAAAAGCTCATGTCTATTATCAATTCCACGTTACAATTTGATTTTTCTCAAGTCAATATCATAGACGATGGAGTTGTAAATTGTAAAACTCAATACCGACACACATCAATTTCTCTAACATCAAACAATTTCATCCGATCCTACTCTTCTCTTTATTTAGCACTACTCATATAGTAAAACACACATGGGAGGGGATGAATGGATGGAGTGGCAAACGCACATCCATATTATTATATATTCTAACATATCATTACTCATATAGTAAAACAATTAATTAGCTCGCTGCCAGGAGTATGAAAAGTAGCGTGTTTTTATTCATGGAAATGTTGCGTCCATTTACGTAAATTTGTGCCTAGTAGATTGTGATACTGCTACTTCGAACCATACGTATATCTCATCAGGCGAGAGCATATACTATTGGTGGGCGGCCTCCTGTTTCAGTTTTTTATGCTGAAACCACAAGAAGGAGCAAAGTTTGTGATCTATAAATATGTAATAACGAGTAACGAATATATATGTAGAAACTACATAGCTATCACAGTTGGGCTTCTTGCGAAGCGTGAAAGGGAGCGTAACGCCACAAAGGCCTGGGATTTTTTTCAACCTTTTATCCCTCAGACCTGTAGTATCCCCGAGAGCAGCTTTGAGGCACTGACAGGAATTCTTCTTGTCGTCGACGGAGGGTTCGGTTTCAACAAAAGTTGCTTTCAGCCAATCGCAGCATGCCGGAGGGACTGTACTGCCCACCTGTTTTTGGGCGTAATCCATGCATGGCCCTGCCTTGGCGCTCACGTCGCTGCACGAAATGGCCGCACCGCTGTTGGTTGTAGCGCCGAAGCTGATGAAAATGAAGCAAGAAACAACTGCGATATTGATGATCGTGAACATGGAGAAGAAACGGGTATTAGTCATCGTGATATCTATCTTTCTATATTTCCCCGACGTTGTTTGCCTTTAATTGTAATAATGATTGTGTGGGTTTGGTTTCTATGCGTGTGCGGTTTTATATAGTTGAGAGGGTTTTGATAGTTTGGAATGTCTATAGGTTTAGTAATTATTTTGTTTTCATAGTTTTGATGGGTACAAGGCTACTTATTTATTCCTTTGCTCAAATGAGAAAGTATGCATCCAAAAAACTCTTCACTCTTCATCAGCTACTTATTAATAATTAATAGTAAAATCCGAACCTACCCATGGTTATCCAATCCAATCTCATCCGTCCAAAGCGTGTTAAATCCGTAATGACGAGTTTTGGGTCAAGTGCGAGTTTTATCACCTTCTTAAATTGGTTGATCAGTTTGGGTTTGTGAGTGAGCCTAGTCATTAGTGTCAAATTAGTTGGAATTTTTTATTAATTAATCTAAATTTATGTGGAATTTTGTGTTACTTTTTATGAATTCGGTGTTGACGAATTTTGGTTCGGGAGAGAGTTGACGAGTTTAGTGTTAGGAGCTCGTTTTACCAACTTTTGTTATTGACGGGTTGGGTTTGGTTATGTTCAAAGCGGGTTGAACCCTGTAACAACAAAAACAAAACAATGTCATTTATGGATGGGTATCCAAGCGAACATACCTAAAAAAACAAAAGAATTGACTAAGTCAAAGCGGGTTGAACCCTGTAATAGTGAGTTTTAGGTTGGGACCAAGTTTTACCCACCTTAGTGATTGACGAGTTGGGTGCAGATTTTGTTAAAGCTCGGCCCATTTTGCATTTGACATGCACCTAAAAATCAACAACAGGTTGAATTTAATGTTGACGAGTTTGGGGTTGAGAGCGAGTTTTACATTCTTTTGTAATTGGTGGGTTGTTTGGATTTCGATTTGCCAAAATTTCGGTACACTATCCATGTGAATGCCACAAAAGAGAAACAATGTCCCCATACAACTTACGGAGTGCATCAAGTGCATAACCTTGTGGTCAATAACTATGCATAACCCTACGGATCAAGTGCATAACCTTGATCTATTTTTTAACCAAAAACAATTGATCAATTTTTTACCAGTCTATACCATATGGTATTAACTGGTATTGAAATAAGAGCATATCATATGGTATGAAAAGCGTACTATGGTGGTATGAAAGACTGTAGGATGTTTGAATACATGATAGTAGGAGTATATTAACTGTCATTTACGACTTTCAACATTGTGTACCACAAGATACCACCCCGTACCAGGGTGGTATTGTGTGGTATTTTTGGTCCTCAATTTTGTTCACCCAGAAATTTGTAGATCCAATAGATAATGTTGAACTCGTTCCTTCCGTGCAAACATTTTCCAAAATGGCTTCAAAACGAAGAAGATACCATATGATATGCAGTTTGTAACGAGAGGCAACAAAAAAAAAATTCTAAAAAAATATTGAAAATGGATCTCATTTTGTAGAGCACAACAAACTACCTCAATCTGTGCAAAAAAAAAAAATTTGAAATATGAGTTAAACGAAGAAGATATGAGCCGATTAAGGAAAAAAAGGGAAAATAAAATTTAATTCTCCACCATTAGATCTGAATTTTTGAACGAAGGGTCTAGATTTAATTACTCATGGTGCATAACCATGCATTGTATCCTCCGCCTACAACTTACTCTCTACACCTTTTGAAAACACAATTCTAATGTTAGATGGTATAAAAGATGATGTTTAAAGGTATTATGTGAAAAATTGATAATGTTACTCATTATAATTTTAACTATCTATTTATGATCTTAAGTTACCGAATTTCTGGCCCACAGTGCAGTGCAGACTTTCGTGCTATTCAAACATCGAACACTTACATTATATCTTGATTCACATAGGAAAGCAAGCCATTAAATCTGAACCGGCCCATGGTTATCGAACCCAATTTGACTCTTCCAAAACGTGTTAAATCCGTAATGACGAGTTTTATCAGTTCTGGTTTATTCTACATAATAAATTGGTTGATCATTCAACCTAATTTGACCCAAAGCCCCAGACAACGTGCGTTGAACCCGATGTTATGAATTTGGGATAGGGAGCAAGTTTTACGCTAGTTTTGCTGTGTTTCAATGTGTTTCAGAGTCTAACACGTGGAACCAACTCTAGAGTCGAAAGTTGGAAGAAAAGGAGCGAGGATTGGGCAAAGAAGAGGAAGCAGTCGCAGTTCAGGGTCATCCGGACAGTGAACTGGAGCCACAAACCACGAACTGAAGAGAGTTCAGAGAGTTTTCGGAGGTTACTGACGTCGAGTTAGTTCATGGTCGTAAGACCGTGAACTAAAGCCATGGACCGCGAACTCGATAATTGAAGCTGTGCGTTTTGGACTGTGTTCACGGTCCAGGCCAGATTTCACGCTTGAACTGGGACCATGAACTGGGCGCGACCAGTGTATATAAGGAAAGCTAAAAGGATGAAGAATGGAAAGGCCAAAGTGACAAAAACCTTCTTCTTCTTCTTGAAACCCCAGAGAGAGAAAGCCACAAACCAAAAGGGAGAAGAGGCTTGGGTTTGCTCCAAGTTAAGATTTGGGAAGTTCCTCTTCAAGAGAGGATCTCTACAAGCACAAGGAGGGATTGAGGCATCACAATGATGGGTTTTTTCCTTTTTCTTTGTGTTCTTCCTTTGTCTAGCATGGAGTAGGGCTGGGAATCCAGACCAAACCGTATGGGGAACCGCGGTCTAGACCGTATCGTATGGTTTGGTCTGGACCGTGAGACTAGAACTATGGTCTGGTCTGGTTTGCGGCCTCCTCCTTTAGTGCGTGGTCTGAAGTGGTCTGGACCGCGGTCTACCGCAGTAAACTGTAACAGACCGCGACACACTACCGACTACCTTGGACAAAAATAACACTAAATTGAACCTCCATATATGTATTTGAAGAACAAAGTTAGTTGATTCTTCATCTAGTTGAGAGCCAACAAATTGCAAAATGATCGCTTATATGTTATCTCCTTATCAAAGTACCACACAAAAATTAGAAAGACTCATAAATAATATTCACAGATAATGTCTAGACTATGGAGTCGATAAAAATTAAACACTACAAAAAAATTCGTTCACCTTGATGAGATAAGGAAAATGATTGAGAGATATGCGACCATCTTAGTGGTTCGAAATTACCTCGACGTCATAAAAAAGGTTATCAACTGGGAGAGCCTTCGGATCACTAGAGAGAGGAGAGGAGCGGTAGCACAAAGAGGAATAGGGAAATAAGGCTATTTGAAAATTGAAAAACCCCACTTCTATCCTCATATTTCTTCTCATTTAATACGATCACAATTTTTTTTGTTTCACTAGCATATTGGTCCCTAGATTGTTTTTATAGATACCGGCGAAGGGTTGAAGGGCGAACAAGAGTTATTTTTTTTTTTAATATGGTCTGTCTGGTCCAGACCATACCGGACCGCACCGCACAGGTGTGGTCTGGTCTGGACCGTACAGTATATGATCTGGTCCATGGTCTGTGTTCCAACCTCTCGGTCTGGACCACAGACCGTATCTATGGTCTGGTCTGGACCGGACCGCACCGTTTCCCACCCCTAGCATGGAGTAGCCTCCCTTTTCAATTGGGTGTTGTAGAACCCTTACTTTTACCATGTAGTTAATTGTGTGGATTGAATAATTGTGTGTGGGTGGTGTGTTTGAGGTATTTTCATGGTGATTGTGCATTGTGTGTGCTTGACAATCTATTGTGCTATTTTAACCTAGTTTAGAGGGAAACCCCCTTATCTTAAGAGGCTCAAATTGAGCTGGGTTTTCTTGGGCATTTTGTAACACCCTAACCCGGCCGGGTACAACTGTTACTAAAATGCCCTTGAAAAATAAAATAACTAAATCTTGAATTTCAGCGGGAAAATTTTCATAATAAAGTACTGAAACACACACTCTTGTAGTTCAAAGCAAAGCCCTAACAAGTGGGCAAACTCAATACTAAAAATCTCAAAATGATCTCCAGTCTGTACTCATAATCATAAATGTAAATAACTAATAATCTCTAAAGTTGTTGCTACTGAAAACCTTGACTAAGCATCCTCCGTGACGCTTATACTGCTCTCCTCTAGTTGGCCGCCCTCGAACTCGCTGCTCACTAACTGCTCCTCTAGCTCCTCAAACTGGTGAGTGAGATGGGGTCTGTCTACGCCCTTACGTTTAACATCTTATTAATACTTGATCACTTTACTTAACTGAGTGGAAGTTGTTTTGTACTTCCACTATTAAAAATCTTGACTCTTAAAACTGTACTGTTAAAGCTCAAATCTCCACTTAAGTTCTTGACTGACACGGGGATCCCTCACTAGCTAGTTCGGTTGCCAACTCATACGTATGATAAGCCATACAGGCTTTCCTTAAACTTAAACTTATCGTGGAAGGCTCTTCTTTCCACGATTCTCAAGAGCATAACTGCTGCTCACCTTAAAAATCTCAAGAGCATAACTGATGCTCATCTTAAAAGTCTCAAGAGCATAATTGTTGCTCTGTCTGGAAATCTCAAAGGGCAACGGACTGGCGCTAGTGACTAAAACACTTAAAACGACTTCACCTTCTTGAGGGTGAGTTACTTCTTAAAAAGAACTTGTTTCTTAAACTGTAATAATTAACCATAATACAAAGCTTTAAGGTCAATAATACACATTCACTTCAAATCATAGCACAAACAAAACACATATAATCTACCAGAAGCATTCACAAGCAACGGTAACCACATCGCCAAAATACTTGAAATCATAATACTTAAAAGAATACGTAAGGCGTAGAATTTACCCCATTTACACTCACCTTATTGATCAGGTCGACTTGGGTTGAGCTAACAA